CACCCCTCAAAATTTGGGGAGCTCTAAGGTGTTTAGGGCCCGCACCGATATATCGATAGACCTTAGCGACTCCCCATGGAACATCCTCCAAGGATTTCCAACGACGAAAAGTCGCTGACGGGAACATTGGGAGCAAAGGGTTCAAAGTCGGATCTCCTGCCTCTTTCTGCGCCCAGCTTGGCCGGCCTATTCCTTTCCTTACGCTCAGCCGCGCCCAACTTGAGTCACACCACGACCGTGGTCTATAACTCATTTTGTAAGCCAGCTGTAGCTGGCTTTGGACTCGCTATCTAATAATGTGTATTTTGTCTGCTATGTGCAAATGAGAAATCTTATGGTTACATAGAGACCTCAATCTACGAGTTAATGTTTAACATGCCCCGTTTAGGAACATGTGATGTCCAAAAACAGCAAATAGTGGAGTCACCCCTGACACTTCTATTTCTGGAAGGTAGAGGTCCCACTCGCGGTGATCTTGCTCCAGAGACGCCCTGATTGACGATAACACGGTGCGATAAACTCGCTCGCTTGCGTAGCTTTGTGGCGCGTAGACTGCAGTGCGCATATACGAGATGCCGAAAGCTGCGATCATGTTACGGAAAGTACCCGATATGAATTGTACCTCCGGTACTCCAAACCTATAGATAACCTCACTGACCAAAAAGTCCACTACGTTAAGAGCCGTAGCCTCTCGCATCGCTTTTAAGAAAGTGAATTTTAAAAATGGTCGATTACCACGAACATCCAAGCGTGCCGTTGTTTCGAACGTGGGTACTTTCCCAGAAAGTCGATATACAGTTTTTGGAATGGTTGCTCGGTCACTACCGCTTTTCCTAGACGCACTTGTATGCGAAAGTTCGTTGGCTTGATTGCCGACTTAAGGTCTCGAGTGTTTTAACGACACCCCCATAACCAGCCGACTCATCTACATGAACCTTCGCTTTTAAGCAGGCTGTCAACGAGCTTGGCACCCACAACTTCCACAATGTGCCTTCTAGCTCGTCTTCTAGGTGCACGAACCCCATGCGCTTAAAAAGCAACCCCCCTGATCCTTCACCGCTTAGGTCCTTAATGGACATCAGCCATTTTAAGCTGGCGTGGTCAGTGATGCATGTAAAAGGCATCCCTTCTATATACGGTCTGAATTTTATAATGGCATGTATCGACGCTAAGCACTCCTTTTCAGTGACGTTGTGTTGTCCGTTGGTGCTTGTTCAACTTGGCTGAAATGAAAGTTATTTGTAGTTTCTGATCATTGGTGTCTTTTTGGAACACCACCGTTCCCCCGCCGAACTGAGACGCATCGCGCTAAATCCGCGTGCACGAGCACTGGGGCCGTGGTCAGGGCGGTCTTCTACTGATCAACGGCTTATGTTGCCTCATCACGCAATACAAACTTTCCGCTATCTGTTTTTAACATTTCGGTCAGTGGTAAAGCGCCGGTATTGACCTGCTGTTCCCAAATATGAGCGAACTTCTGTGCGCGACCGAGACACGGAGATTCGTTTGATAGCTATAACCCGTTCGGGGTCCATGCGAAGCGTGCCACCACCAATAATGAATCCTAGATATTTTAATGCCTTGAAGCAAAAAAACAAAAACTCCCTCTTGACCGCCTCTAACTCTATCCTTTCTTCCCTAAACAACTCCAATGAATCCGGCTTACTTTCGAGTTCTTCCTCTTCTTCCGCATAATGCGTCATCACCGTGGAGATTAACTTCTCGGGGCCCAGAATGTCAGCGGCTAGGTTAAACGCTCGCCAGAAATCAATCCGAAAGTAGGTTCGCTGTTTCAGGTAGGGGCAGATAAAAAACGTTATTTTATCATGCTGTTTCATCATCGACTTATTCTCTCCTTCAGCGGTTGTGACTACAGAAGCGTAAGATTGCACCGTAACCCCTGATTCTCCGACCAACTCTCGACTTCATTTTCCTAGCAGACTTTTTTTTTTTTCTGTTTATTGTATTGGATAAAAAATAGCATACATTTTTATTACAACACAATTAGCTTATGTGATATTGCGTTAAGCCTGTTTGAGTCCTCAGGCTTTATGGTGGAGAAAGCGGCTTTTTTAAATAAGGCTGCATCGTCACGTGGGTAGTCGGTAGACTGTGGGGCGTCTCCTGTGTCGTGGTTGCCCTCCGCTGAACCCAAATTGGTGATCAGGAAGGATGGCCATGTGATCCATTAGCCTTGCAAGTCGGGCGACAATAAGTCTTATCCAGACCTTCGACAAGGAAGGCAGGAGACTGATCCGCCGATATGACTTAGGGTCAAATTCCGGCTTGCCCGTCTTATGGATCACATGGATCATCGCTAACTTGCGTCCTTATGGCGTTGAAATTCAACGTTATAATTGCTCATTGGCAGGGCCTTCAGGGCGGTGTGGTTCGGAGCTTTTGTCCTAGGAAGGACTTTGAAGGCGTTGGCTACCTCCTCCACACGGATGGGAACGATAGGTCGTGACATCTGAATCGGAGTCTCCGACGCTCGGGTAGTCTCATCGAGCTCTTCTGGAGAGGTCGAGTTGAATGTTGAAAACCGTTCCTTTAGGTGGCTGGCGAAGGTGTCAGCTTGTTTTCTAGTTCGAATTTCGACCAGCAGAATTATTCCGATGGCGTGTTTTTGTACTAGGGCCTCCAGCTCTAGTACTTTTACTGAAATGGCCTTGGCATTCCAGATTAGCACCTTCAGTGGTGTGTTCATTTGGATAGCAACGAGGTTAAAAGGGATTTGCTGTTGCATACCCAAAACCTGCTGTTGCATTTCGGCCATCCTCTCGACAGCTCGGCTTATGTCCTTGATGGCAGAGGAAAGTCCTTCCCCATTTCCAGATGTCTGCTGTTGCTGTTGTTGCGCAGTCAGCCTCTCCTATTGCTATTCTCTCAGCAGTCTATGTAGCCTAGCTTGCGCTGGTCCTTCTCGCTGGCTAGCGATGGGGACGTTGTTCTTTTTGCTGAATGCAGCTAGTCCTATTCTGGTGGCAGCGGCGTATGAAAGCCCTTCTACTTGTTCAGTGGGTGCTGTACAGGGGAAGACAACAGGTGTAGGCCCATGAACTTTATTGCTGCGGCTTCGGTTAGCTTGAGTCGGTGGGAGATTTTTCATTTTGGCGGGCTTTGGGGCTCCCGCGCGCTTTGTATATTCGGTGAACCACTCGCAGCCCTTATAGTTGGCAGGGTGGTTACCACCGCAGTGGGCGCATGTTGCGAGAACTGAGTCGGGCCGTGTGCAATCAGCAGAGCGATGATTGAGCCCACATATAACGCATTTGTGTTGTGTTTTACAGTATGTTGCCGTGTGCCCGTACTCCTGACATCGATGGCATTGCACCACGTCCTGACTTCTTCGAGCAGTCTCAACCTTGACCCCCTGCTTGCACAGCTTCCTGATGGTGAGAGCCTCTTTGTTGTTGGCTGCCGGCTGCAATTTAATGAAGTGATCATTCATGGGCTCCTTGGTAGCTTTGCTGCTCGGATTGTGCACTTGGAGAACGGTATGGCCCTGGGTCCGCAGGTCGTCCATGAGCTCTCGGTTGAGTGTGGAGTGGTGGAGGCCTTTGATTACTATGCGATAGGGCTTCTCCTCCTGCAGCTGGTATGAGTAGAACTCAATTTTGTGTTCTTCCAGTATCTGTATGGTGGCCCTGTACGTAGGCACATCATTGGCTAGGCGTCGCATAGTCCTACCTAGGTTGGATTTGATGGTCAAGCTATCCGCTACTTCGGATAGTAAGAGCCACACGTCCTTGATGTCGTCGATGAGATTTAGGACGATGGTTGGTGGCTTCTTTCCTCCAGTGGAGGCCCAGTTGGAGGTCCAGTTGTTGGCCCTTTTTTCGGGCACGGAGGAGCTGGTGCTGGCATGTGTGACAGCGTTGGGCTGGCTGCCGCCCCCAACTTGAGGAGTCGCTGAGGCAGGCAAGTTCTCTTCTTGGACTGAGTTTATCTGCTCGGCCACAGATTCGTCAGTATCCATGTCTTCGTCGTTATCGGGTGGTGCCAAGAGAGCATATCTATTGGGAGCATGTATCCCAACTGGACTGGTGTCAGTCTTGTTCTGTTTTCGCCGCGCGGCAGGTGGGGACCTGCTGTCTAAGACTTTGCGCTTATCATTTGTTTTCTCGCCTGTGATTGCAGGCAGGTGAATTGGGTTTGCCGATATCTATTATACGCACTAGGGCGTCAATGGGGTCTCTATTCACACTAGCACCAGCGTGTGGGCTGCTGCCGGGGTCTTCGGAGTCCAGTAAAGGGTAGGAAGGTGAAACTGAATTACTTCTTGCAGACATCAGCGCGGAGAATTTCTTGGCAGCTGTTGCTAAGCGGCTGTTAAGCATTAAGGTGCTCGGCGGTGTAGCGGCGTCAGCATTTAGTTGGCCTACCTCGTTAGTTCAAAACGACCCCTTTTTACTCATTGGGAGTACGATGCTGTTCTCAGCACTTACTGGTATTGTGGCTCTATTTGCATTGCCACTGGCTGGGTGCATGTCAACACGGCAGCGCTGATGAATTGCTCAATTTTATTTTTCGGTTTGGTTTTATTTCACTTAAAACATTTTGTTTTGTCAGCCAATAGTTTTGTTTTTATTTTTGTCGTTTTCGTGCTTTCCAATATTTGATGCGCTGCAATCTTTGTGCGGGATTGCAAAAGCCCCTCTTGACCGTTTGGGCGAGCTCACCAAAAATTCTATTTTGGGCCGACATGTGTGCCCGAACACGTTCTTCATATGGTAAGCCCCTTAATGTTCTTCCCTTATTCATATCCTTATACAATGCCTTATTCTGGTCCTTATGGTCTATATTTGTCTCCTTTTCAACTACTATTGGCTTTGGTAGGTGCACTTCTTCTGCTTTTCCGCTGTCATCGACCCCGAACGCGTCTGTCCCGCCATCATCGCGCTCCCTATCGGGTTTCCCGAACAGTTTTCGCACTGTGAGCAGAATGTGTCTGGCTTTTCGCACCTATAACTGAATACCTTCCGCTCTTTGGACTGGCAGTCTCTAAAGACATGGTCGAACTGCCTACAGTTCCAGCATACTAGCCGGGAAGATGTCCTTCCTCGCCCGAAGGCCTTCTCAGGTTCTCTAGGCGGCGTGTTCGCACGATGTGTTAATACTTCGACCTCATGCACTATCGGCTTCGTTCCTTGCGACGGCTGCACGTATCCAGTCCGGTTTCTGCGACCAATGTGCCTCTCCACTTCTATGCACTATGCACGGGGAGTACATCCCTAGCATAGATATATTTTGCCAGACTCTCCTTCAAGCCACGCTTTATAATCTTCACCAGTTCGCGGTCTCTAGAATCGTGCGGCGAGCCGAAGCATGTCCCGCATGACCACCTTCGCTGGTCTGTTGCTCTCGTTGTAAAAGCTCCTGCATCACATCATGCTCCGTCTAAAAGCCCCGGAACCTGTCCAAAAGAGCATGTCGCAGTTGCAACCAGCTGTTGACCATAGAATGCCGCACATGCATCCAATACCACTCGCGGGCACGGCCGGTAAGGAGCAGGTGAAAACCGCGCAAGACCTCCTGCCACGGGCATTGATATGGCCTCTGCAAGAACTCCAGCCGGATCATGAAGTCCTCGACAGAATTCATTGCGTCCTCGCCGTCGAACTTGTCATTCCACCTCTAGAACTTCAGGTACACCGTTTCTCGTACGTTTGCATATGCTTCCACTGGCTAAAAGTCATCCGCTCTCCAGTCCTCTACTCGGAAGTGGCGATTATTCGGATTACGCCAGTTCCTGAGCATCTGCAACGAATACTGGGCTGCTGGATGAATGCTCCGCTCCTCGCGCGCCTTGTCTGTGTTGCTTCGGCGGCACCGGTGGGGAAAATGACTCGCGCTGGGTACCTTCTCGCTCTTTCGGGATGGCGCCTGTTTGCGGTCCCGGCACGACGTGTCTCGGCGGCATCGGCGCAGTGTTAGGCTACCCGACGTGGTTCTGTGGCGGCTTAATCACCTCATGCACTATCGGCTTCGTTCCTTGCGACGGCTGCACGTACCCAGTCCGGTTTTTGCGACCAATGTGCCTCTCCACTTCTGTGCACTATGCACGGTGAGTACATCCATAGCATAGATATATTTTGCCAGAATCTCCTTCAAGCCACGCTTTATAATCTTCACCAGTTCGCGGTCTCTAGAATCGCGCGGCGAGCCGAAGCATGTCCCGCATGACCACCTTCGCTAGTCTGCTGCTATCGTTGTAGAAGCTCCTGCATTAAATCATGCTCCGTCTGAAAGCCCCGGAACCTGTCCAAGAGAGCATGTCGCAGTTGCATCCAGCTGTTGCGCAAGACCTCCTGCCACGGGCATTGATATTGCCTCTGCAGGAACTCCAGCCCTTCATCATCTTCATGAAGCTTGTTCGCATCTCCTCGCGGATGGATTCGCTGATGCCAGATGGCAGGGCATGCAGATATGTCTGGTGGGCTTGGGCTATTACCGCATTCGCTGCTGACCACGACAAGGAAAACTTCTCATGCTAATGAATATTCTGATAATATCTGCCTCCGTCGTGCTTCTCGGATTCCACTACACGCTGCGCGATTATGTGCCGCCTACTCGGGCCACATAAGGCATCAGCGGTGTGCTTCCTAAAGCCAAGGGAAACATTTCTTTAAACATCGAACAGCCGGAACTTCTAACAAATGAACAACATAAACAGCTGTGACAACAGGAAAGGTAAGCACAAAGGTGAGACGCTAATATAAATTGACAAAAAGAAACACTACTGTAGAAACGTAGTTTGAATTCCGTTGACATATTGTATTACATTCAGAACAGTAGCACGTCAGTGCTATTTCGCTTATATGTTCATGATGATTTTATTTGTCTTTAAAGCTTTGCGCTTAGCCTATGGATACATATATGTACTTATGCTGTTATCGGTTAACAGTTACAAAGAGAGAGAGAGAGAGAGTGAGTAGCTAGCATATGCCTGTATTAGCCACATAAAGTGGCTCTGGGCTTGTTTATTGTATAATTGTTATTGTATGCAACAAAGAGCTGCATACTTTATATTTAAATACAGGGTGTTCTGTTAGGGTATATACACACTACACCTCCCTTTTCAGAGAAATACCGTAACATTATGAATGTGCAGTTATTAAATGAACTAAATATTTTTTTTTTTTTGTGTTTTTTTTGTGTATAAAAATTTTTTTTTTAAATAAAGTAGTAAAATATAATACGAATTTTTTTTAATTTAAAAATTGATTATTAATAAATTGATTAAAATATATTGATATAAAAATTGAAAAAATTATTGAATATAAAAATATAAAAATGTAAGAATATAAAAATATAAAAGTATCAAAGATATAAAAATTTAATAATTGAAAATATTAATTTTTTTTTTTGTTTAAGGATAAATTTTATTATAAGAATTTGTTTTTCTGTAAAAATGTTTTTTTGTGGCCGTTGTACTTTTTTTTGTATTTTATTTAGAATTCGAATTCATAAAGAAAATTTAGAAGTATTATGCATTAAACATTTTTAATCTATCCTTATTAACTTTTTGTTCCTAACCCTTTTTATTTTTTATCATAATGTAATCTTTATCTTCTATTCCTATTACTTCATAGGGGCCTAATATAACCTTATCTCCTACTTTTAATTTAAATTTGATAACTTTTTTATCATAATATTCTTTATTTTTTGCTTTATGTTTTTCTAACATTATCCTAGCTCTTTTATATGTTCAAGTCTAAACTTGGTTTCCTTAGCGTAATCATCTATATTATATATAGGGTCAATATTATGTATTTTATTAAAATATTTTGGCAAGTTGCTCTGTTTGCCGAAAACTAACTCATATGGACAATAATTGTGTGCCATAGAGGGGGTCGTGTTCTAACAGTAAACAAAATATTTTAGCCATATATCCCAATCAGTTTTATCAATCGATATGTAAGAACGTATGTATTCGTTGAAAGTTCTATGACTTCTCTCTACTGTTCCAACTGTCTGGTGGTAGTGTTCTGTAGAAATTGTCTATCTTTAAGTATTTGCACAGGTCGTTAATGACAGAATTTTTATATTCAGTTCCCATGTCCGAGATGAACGTCTTCATTGGACCGAACTTAAGTATAAAAGATTCGAATATTGCTTTTGCAACTGTCTTAGCGGATTTGTTTGGTCCTGGACGCGTCATATTTTTCCAATAGTAGTTTCTTTTGATTTTATTTGAAGTCTTTGTTATGCCGTTGTGTCCTCCTTGTAGGGAATCGTCATGAAATGTGGACATTATAGCTTCTTTTTCTTTTTCGTTATTTATTAGGGTCACCGGCTTGAGTAGCGCTACTCTAAGTTTTTTAAGATTTTTATTGCCCATATGTTTAAAAGTATCAATTGAAATGAATTCAAAGATCTTTTCGCTCGGTGCCACTTTGAGTTGGCTGATTCCTAATATACCGGCTTCTTCAAGCCATTGGAAAAATTGACCTAGGTCGAGAGTTCCATTAGTATAAAAATCTTTTTACCATATTTTAAAATACATAGCATATTTGTTATGTGCAAGGTCACTATTTTTCGAATATCGTCGGTTTTAATGACGTCGTATACGTTGGGATTAGAAGCATTATCAAGACTTTGCCTCGCCAAAAGTTCTTGTTCTTTTCCAGCGCAGGATTTATTTTTTCTACTTTGTTGTCTTGTAGTGACTTTCAAGACATTTGTGTTAGTACTTTTTAATTCTTTGATGGTTATTCTTGATAACGCATCTGCAACAAAATTGTCTTTTCCCTTTAGATATTCTACAGTGAACTCGTACTCTTCTAAATCTAATCTCATTCTAGTTAACTACGAACTGGGGTTTACAATTGAAAATAAATAAGTAAGTGGTCTGTGATCTGTTTAAATAGTGAAATGTTGACCATATACATATGTATGGTTGAAAATGAGTTATTGCCCAATGAATTGCTGCTTACTCTTGCTCTGTGGTATTTTTGTTGGATTCACCTTTTGTGAATGAACGTGAAGCGTATGCTACTGGTAATTGCTTATCACCATACGTTTGAGTTAGGACTGCTCCGCAAGCTTGTTTACTTGCATCCGTTATTGTACAAAATTCTTTGCTAAAATCGGGATACTTTAGTAAAGTGGGCTTAATTAGAGCTTTCTTTAAGTATTCGAATGCGTTTTGACATTCGGTAGACCATACAAATTTTACATTCTTTTTGCATAGTCTTGTTATGTGACGTAAATAGTCTGCAAAATTTTTGATAAAAGGTCTGTAATAATTGCAAAATGCAACGAATCGTCTAGCGCTATCAGCGTCCGTAGGGACTGGATATTTTTCAATGACATCATATTTTTTGTTATATGGCTAAATACACTTATGACCTAGGAAAGTCACTTCGTGCATGAAAAAAGAGCATTTTTCTGGATGTTGGTTAATGTTGTGTTTCCTACATAAGTCAAAAACGCTTGTTAAGTCGGAACACCCGATGACTATTAGGTCATCCATGTACAAGAAAGCTTGTGAAGGATCTAATCCAGAAAAAGCGATGGTCATCATTCTTTAAAAAAGATATAGGCGCTGTTTTTAGACCATATGGTAATCGTGTAAAACGATAGGAGCCATTGCTCGTTGAAAAAGACGTTATGTTTCTAGAATTTTCTTCTAAATCTATTTGGTGAATACCGGACATTAAATCTAAGCATGAAAAATATTTTGATCTGCCTAGTTTCTCAAGAATACCATCTATTATTGGAAGTAGAAATTTGTCGGACAAGAGCTTTTTGTTAATTTGGCGATAGTCTATAAGTAATCGCCATCTCTTGGTATCGGACCCTGGTAGACCTTTTTTTGGTACAAGGAGTATTGGATATTCTGATACGGAAGATTCTACCATTTTATATTGAATGAGTTTTTCTACCTGTTTAGTTACTTCTTCCTGATGAATATGAGGTGTTCTGTAATTTTTTATGTACACTGGTTCTTTGTCCTTTAACTTTAACCCTTAACTCTTGCTTATAAAAATTGTTGGTTGTTATAGATTTGGTTTCTAATCCGAATATACTTGGTGCACAGCTCTTTTAGTTTTACTTTAAATAATGGTGGAAAGTTTTTAACTAGTTTTTTCATAACATTACTTTGTCTTTCTTCGTTAATTTCATTGACTATTTCGTAGTCATTTAAGGTTTCAAATTTGATTGGGTTTAAGTTGACTATTTTAACTGAATTAGTTGTATTTAATATTCGGAAAAATGTATTTTTGTTATTGGAAATTGTATTTCCAATGACAATTCCTTCGTCAATTTCTTGATTGGGAATTAAAACATGATTTTGTATGGAAGGTATTTTTATTTGTCGGACAACTTCGGAACGTGCTGGTAGTATTGTGGCATTATTGTCACAAGTGTGAATTATTAGTAGTTTAATCGGATAATTTAAGTTGTGCGGACGAAGTACTAAGGAGTCATTAGTTTGTGTAAAATCTAATTGACAATTGTATTTTTTAACGACATCTATTTCTACTATGCCGTCACTAGGTATTGGGGAAATTTTGTTCGACTAAATGGAAGTCGTGCGGAATAACGTATTTACCTGTAGTGAGCTCTACAAATGCTAAACCTTTTGAAAAAACTGAGCCTTCACCAATTCCTGATATTTAAGTGGTTATGTTATCATTTATGTGCTCGAATGTATCGACATTTTCTTTTAATATTGAAATGTCTGCACTAGTATCTTACAACAAGGTACATGTTTTACCTGTACTTTCATTATTAATTTTTATGAATATGCTTAAGTTAAGATTAATTGTGTGTACAGTTTTATTTAATGGTTTTAAATATCTGAAGGGCCTTGGTGATTTTCCGAGTTACTCTGAGTAACTCGAACGTTATTATTTCTATTATTATTATTTTGGTTGTTACCTCGGTTGGAATTGTTCCTTCCTCGGTTGTAACCCCGGGAATTTCCTCTGAAATTTCCTCTATTGTTGTGATTATGCTTGGGATTATAATATGCTTGGCCATTGCCTCTACCTCTTTGGGTATTACGGTTATTATTACCTCTATAATTTTTACCTCGCTGGTATAATACTGTGCTGGCACCTCCAGTCATTTCAGTGCTGCAATGGATGTATTTACCCATGGCATCATCGAAAGTGTTGAAGTTTCCTGCTTCCAGTACAATACGATGCTTTTCATAATCACAATTCGTTGTCATGGCAGCTATAGATTCTTTTGTTGCGAATTTGGCTGCATTATCGGGGTCTGCCTCGAGTTGCTTACGCAAGTTATCGATTTCAACTGTATATTGGCCTGCCTTTTTGTTTTATGTTTAACAACCTGGCCTTAATTACGTCGGTTGAATCACTTTTTTTATTTACTAATGCCAGTGATTGTTGTTTCATCTTGGCATTTGTATAGTATTAGGCCAGTTATTTTTGATTTGATCACTTCAACGGCCTAATCTTCTTGGTTGCCTTTTGTTCGTTCTACGAACCTTAAAGCTGTTAAGAAACGATTTAATGAAAGTTTTTTACCGTCAAATTCTGGGACCGTAGACGAAATTTGTCTTAAGTATTCCCTGTCTAGGGCTACTTGATCCGGCATGGTAGACTCTGTACTTTTTTCCAGTGTCTCAATGTCGCTATC